CCGTCTCGTCACAACAACCCATGACGGAACGACCTCTTCACAATCCAAGTATTCATCATTATCATCTCTTCCACTCTTTTTTTTCAATTATATCCTACACTCGTACCTCTTTGATCAAGAACCCATGCCGTGAGTTCCATCCGAGTTGTGCTTTTGCAGAAAGTGATCTGTTCAAAGTGAGAAATTTTATGGGGGAAGTTATTCTGGGAAAAGCGGTGGTTTCCTTATCGCTTTTCTTTTTTTGATTGAATCCAAATGAGCAATTCCTGCATTGATTGATTTTTACTGTGAAACATACCGTTAATTTTTTCTCAGGTATAATGTGGAAATATATTGTCCATATCAGTTGAAAAACTATCCATTTGATACTCATCAGTGTGATATTGACATAGTCTCAGGTTTGTTACTTCCTCTCAGAATTCGTTTTTCACAAAATTATGATCCTTTCCCGTCGTTGCTTGTTGGTTTTTCATCAACATTTGATTCAGTTTTTTCTTCTGTTTTATCTATTCGCTGTAAGTGGTTAGAATTATCGCGAAAATATCAAAAGTGACGAGTTTTTGCTGAGCTTTTTGGAGTGATCGATTGCTCTCGGTAATGGAGCGTATCGTCTTCTGTAAATGTTTTCTGAAAAAAGTCATTGAAGTTCGTCATCCGTTAAAGCAATTAGCGTTAAAATGGATTGACTCCAGTGAGCCTCGTTTGAGCTCCGGCATATCAACTCCGAATCTTGTTGTCCAATCGGCTGTTGGTCACTACTGTGAACATGACTCTGCATATTCACTGACCGGATTCAATGCGCCTCATGGTTCGTATTGATAATTCCATCCCTTCCACTCCTTCAGTCACTTCCATATCATTCACTGCTAAATGAGCATTTTTTTTGGAATTTAGAGATGATAACATAATATATTATATGGTAAATTTATTTGTATCACAGACCATCGCCATCCATCAGCAGTTGAATGATTAAGTTAATGCGAAGACGATTTTTAGCGCAATTCGGTTGTGTTCGCGCAAAGTTGATCATGTCAAGACCGTTATACATTCCCTTGATACGCTTCTTTTTACCGTCGATCCTTGCCATATTCATATCGTGGAGCAGCATTTATATCAATCGAAATCAAATACAAACTCGCTTAACTGTTCTCATCTTTTCCACATCTATCATTTGCTTCATTGTGAGTTTCATCGATTTGCTTACCTCAAATTGGCATTTTCTGTGGAAATTTACACTGAATAAAAACTAAAATTTCTGAGCAATACCAATCAATGGTCATCGGAATAGTTATTTGATCTTTGTTGTTATGAATTACCTTTCTTTGCCTATA